TTCAAAAAACTTTTCATTGAACATGTAGGCCTTGTTATTATGCCTTTTTAGTTTTATGAGTTAAATTATCAAAGAATTATACACTTCTCCCTCCCTCCCTCCCCTGCCCACTAAAAAAGTCGGCATTACATATGCCAAACCACCAACATTTTGAAAAAACCATAGAGTGATTCCTTATTAAACTAGAGTTCTTAGGGTGTCTTATTTGCTTCTAAAGAATTTGCTTAAATACAAAGTAAACTAGAATGATGTCATGTCGTTAACCATTTCAACTAGGATCTATATCTCGCTAGAGCCACTTCATTTACGGGGTGTTGTGACTTGGTAAATCATCTCATTGTTTTCACAAAAGTACAAACACTCAATTAATAAATATGTTCTACCGGAATCACTCCTTTAGAGTTTTTATTTTCCTCTTAAATAAATTTCTAACTGAGGCTTTATAGATTTCGAACTTTTTGAAAGCCCATCTTTATACACATTGATATATTAAAAAAAAAAAATCAATGAACATAATGAAATATATTTTTTCTCCTTTTGCTCACAATTATCAATATAGTCAGGTTTAATAATTCAATGTTCATATTCACTAGAGGGAAAAGCTTTCTTATTGCTTTTACTTGCATTAATGCCTCATCTTTACCATTTGACACATCACCATGTTCAAGTATTAATCCTAGCTTAACTAGGTTTTTTGAAAGAAGGAAAATTAAAGTCACCTAATCTAATATGGGTGTGGTTTCTATAAGATTGCAACCTTAAACAATCCAATTAAGGTGCACATAAAATTTTTATTATAACATATAATTCTGGTGTACAAAATTCTTATAATTGTCTCAAAATCTTTTTCATATCTACTAATAAAATTTTAAACTCCAAAAATAGTTAAAATCAAGTAGATCTTTAAACATATGAAAATCTTGAAATTGGATTAGTCTAGATAATGTGTTGCAAGATGCACTATTTCTGAGACTGAAAATCCTTTTTTTTTGTTTTTTTCATATTCATACATCTCATTGTCAAGATGATCAATTAGAGGCTTTTTCAACATTAAAACAACAATTTTTGATGGATTTTAGAGGCGCATATGTAATTCTACACTTTAAGGTTGCAACCTTATATAAAATTTTTCCATCTATTATACCACAAGTTCCACACATTCATAAAATAGGCGGAGGAGTTCTTTATTTGGTTCATTGAATCACATAGTAACATTCTATTATAAGGGTACCCTTTTCCAACAAATGCACGTCTCTTAGTCAAAACGACATGTATGATCTCATGACTATTTAGTAACTATACTTATAAGAAGGTAGCCCAACCCCGAGTTTCTCCTTATATTAGGCATGAAAAACATTACATGCGAACCTTTTGGAACTAAATTTCATTTCTGTCACGCCTTTACCAAGCATCCTAGACAAGGATTGGGTTCCCAGTATGACTAAAATTTCCTTCTCATGCTTTCCAAATAAGTTACAATTGTTGCATGGTAGTACTTGTTTCTACCCACCAACAGATCTCTTTATCGACCATATTCACCTCAGTGATCATAGCCACCAATGTTCCAACTTGTATTGTTATTAAGTTTGCTTGATTTTGATGCTTTTGAGCCGGTTTTTTTTACATCTTCACTCCTCAAGAGTAGTGGTCTGATTATTCATACGTGTAACAATTTCCTTTCCTTTTATTAGACTTTTTTTTCCTTCACAATACCTTTTGGATGTTGGAAGCCTAATCATTACACATATCTCTACAAGGTTTTCCTTGGCCCATTGGTAATTGAGCACCCATGGACGAACTTTTCTTTTTCTATTGCCTATTTTCCTCATTAATTCACGAAAAGCACTGAAGTTGAAATAAATCAATATCAACCTTCTTATATTTCATTTCTTTTTTATACTTTCTTCATGATGGGGGTAATTTACAGGTGATGATTTTCACTTGGAAAGCCTTATTTAATGCTATCCGCAACCTTTAAGTTAACTTATGATAAGCTACAACTCATATTAGAATTGGAACAATTAGATATGAAATCTACTTTCTTGCATGGTGACTTAGAAGAAAAAAAAAATATAAGACCCAACTTGATGGATTTATTGAGGAACGTAAAGAGAATTTGGTTTACAGAATCAAGAAATTATTGTATGGGTTCAAACAGACACTGGTTTTGGTACAAATGGTTTGATTCTTTCATATTGAGATTGAATTTTGGTAAATACAAGACTGACCATTGTGCCTATTTTCATTGTTATGGAAGCTTATTTATCTTGTTATTGTATGTTGATGACATAATTGTTGTAGGACTAATATAAAGAGAACATTGCAACGCTGAAACCTCTGTTGGTTAGGCAAATTCAGATGAAAGATTTGGAAGTTCTTAATCAAATTCTTGGGATGAGTATAGTCAGGAAGAACATGAAAATCTGGTTGATTAAGAAAAGTTAAGTGAGGGTTATGCGGCGCTTCAAGATGAATGACAAACCAATTAGTACCCAATTTTATGTGCATAAATTGTCTTCGAAATACTGTACTAGCATTGGAGCAAAGAAGACACAGATTTCTCGAGTACCATATTCATCAACAGTTGGGAGTCTCATGTTTGCTATGCTTAACACCGGGCCTGACATAGAATCAAGTAGTGGGAGTGATGAGCAGATACATGACAAATCCTGACCACAATCATTGGATTACTGTGAAGTGGACCCTTCGTTATTTGAAGGGAACTTCTAATACTGATATTTGTTATAGGGGATGGACTTGAAAGTTGTTAATTATGTTGATGTAAATTTTGCAGATAACTTAGATAAGGGAAAGGCTTACTAGTAGATATATTTTTTCTTTGGTGGGTGCTGCACTTAGTTGGTTATCGAGTTGTAATTTGTGGCGGCTTTGTCTTCTATAGAGGTTGAGTATATATCACTTACTCATGCATCTAAAGAAGCAATTTGACCAAACAAGTTACTTGATGAGTTTCAAGTTGTAAGAGGAGGTATACTGCTTCATCGTGTTGATTAGAGGACATGGCTGGCTAAGCATATTAATAGTTGGTATCATTTTACCATGATGTGGTAGAAGATAGAAGAATTTTACTGCAGAAAATTCATACGGATGACAATCTAATAGATATGTTGACTTAGCTCATTAGGAAAGGAAAGTTCACTCGGTACAAAATTTCCTTGGATCTTGTGGTTACTCAATGACTAGTAACTGGTGGGTAGCAATTTCTCTTGAAGCATACTATCAGAATAAAAATTTGTCTATAAGTGGAAGAATCTTGTACGGTGAAGTAAAGTTTCCTAATTTAAGAGAACTTGATATTCTTGGATAATATTACATTTCCTATATATGGTTATCCTATTATTATGGGATGTGAATCCATGATTTAGGAAACATGTGAGAGCTTTCTGTTTTGTTAGAGACTAAATCCTCTATATTTAGGAAACCAATCAAAATTAGGAATGGAGACCAATCAAAATTAGGAATGGAGAGGCCTCAAGTGGGTATATTAGTTTTTTCCTCTTTATAAAGACTTTATAGATAGAGAAATCGTGTATGCAAAATCAAGAGAGAATGTTGATTTTTTAGGAAACCAATCAAAATTAAGAATGGAGAGGCCACGTGGGTATATCTAGTTTTTTTCTCTTTATAAAGATGCTTTATAGATAGAGAATCGTGTATGCAAAATAGAGAGAATGTTGATTTTTTTGTTTTCCTTGGGTGAGTGTTTTAGAAAGAAACACTTTATTTTAGTATTTTGAGAGAGATCTTATAAACCTTTGTATTCTCCATATTAGCATGGTGTTTTTCTTATTAATAGAAGAGGAAATTTTTGCCCTGTAGATGTAGGCAATTGCTGAACCAAGTAAAACTTGGTGTTTCGCTCTTTTAATTTTTTACAGTACTTTTCTTTTCCTTTGGTTTTTGCCCAAATCTTGGTTATCATCCTTCACTGGGGTACCCAAGCCTTGAAAACTCTAACAGTATAATCTTGTAATAGTGTCTAAAGCATAAATGTTAATTAAAAGGCAAAAATGACAATTTATACAACATCATACAAGCAAAATTTGTATGCCACAAAAAAGGAAGGGCATGATCATCTGCTGTAGATCAATAATCCACTCTCATATGCTACCGGTATATGTATCTCATCAGTAATATGGATTGGAGATTTCTAGTTAAGTGCTAGTTATGGTTGAACTAAATGATGGAATTCTATGCACTATTAGTATTTACTCACAAAGCATATTAGTATCTCTCTCACTTCAAACGACCATACCTTTTTTTGTTATTTTATTATTTGAATGTTAACAGGTAGGAATAGATTCAAGAGTTTATGTTGTGACATACCACTCTCCTGATCTCCCAAGCCATCGGTCCGTTCCTTTAAAGAAGTATACAGTTTCTTGATTACAAAGGCCATTGGAAATGGTGGTAGCCTGATGTAAGAATAGATCACATGACTCATCGTATGCATTGTGATGCTGCTCCTCTAGGGATTTAAAAGAAAGTAACAAATATATCATATGCACCTAAGAAACAATAGGTTGGGTTTGGTTCATTTAAGGAGCTTTTCTAGGAGTGCTTCTGACTTCTGTAATCATCAGTTCTGAGAAAACAAATGCAATGTTTTGTTTCGTGACGCTTTCGTAGCTTGATAGGAAGTGTACTTGTTGCGCCCTCTAGCTTGGCGATCTGTCATCGGATTCTTACTTCTCATCCGAATTTCTTAGCTCCAAGCATAAATCTTTACCTCCTATTCGTCGCCTCAAGTACCTCCTTGAGGAATTGGAAATGGAGGGCGAAACAAGGCAAAAAAGGATAAAAGAGCTTTTGTAAAGTAGAAACTTCAATCACCATGTTTCCAAGCACGAATAGATGGCTATCGTAAAACAATATTTGTCACTTATTGATAAAAATTAGTGTGTATTTAAGCTGTACCAAGCAAATTTGTCCTTAGGATTAAAGGATGCAAAGGATTGTGTGAAACTATCTCGGCAATTCAATTGCATAAGTACTGCAAGTTCTAGAATGCTAGAGTTGCCTCTCTTTTTTAGAGAAAGAAAGTTCTCAAAAATACTTTAGAAGGATCGAAAACTTCATGCTTCAAAAGGAAGAAACGAAATCCTATAGAGAAAGTGCTTTCTCATCATCACCAACAGTGGATGTCCAATGGACTCACTAAATGAAGAGTTGTAACTTTTTGGCCTTGAATTACAACTTGCATCCGTTATGCTGTGGGTCACCTCTTGCGTTGATGCGAAATGCAAAGTAGGCCATCAAGTGCTCTTGTGCCTCGTTATGCTTGTGTGCATTTTATGTGCTCAGCATAGACCTTCTTTCTTCTTGGGTCTTGAAGCACAAGTGAAGATGATATCGTCATATTTAAGCATAGCTTCCCTTATCCGTTATTCAATACGGGATAACTAATCACTACTTTTCCCTGTATATAAGATAAAATATAATTTCCAAAATACAATAATACAAATGAGAACTAATACTTTCCAAAAAAAAAATACAACACTTAACCACAAAAAACTTGAGGAAAGGAATGAAGATGATGTAAGGTGACTATGTAACAATGTAATAAACCAATAGGACAAGGGAAGAACAATTGTGGACTATAGCAAGATGATCTTGGAGGGAGGGAGGCAGCTCACTATTATTTTTCTTTTGTCTTCAGAAAATTTTCTTCGTCAAATGTTTCAGTTTTGCAGGTTGAACTCTATGTCGTTTATTTTGCATTCACTTGCTGCAATAATGACAATTAAATCAAACCACCCTATAGTACCTTTTTCGCTTGAACGGGTCAGTCACATGTTACCATTAAAAATTAAATGAAATTTCAGAACATATTTCATTTATTTTTTCAACTAAAAAGTTAACCGGCTAGTTTTTGATATATATCACAATACTCTTTCTCTTTCTCTCTCTCTGTTATACCATATGTAAAAGGGCAAGCTTTCTATGTTTCCCTTACAGCATAGAAGTTCTATCCTCCTCCTTATCCAATTGTCCATTCTGAATTGAGGGTTAAGATTGTCCCAATCACAATGTCATGTCTCTACGCTATTTTATTTTTAATTTTTTTTATAAACTATTTTAACACCAAATTTTGGACGTCCATTCCTCTATTAAACTCGCACCAGCGAAAAATATAAAAAAAAGTATTTTCAATAAAATAAAATGACTAAAATACCCTATAAGATTTCAAGGGGGATTTTGGTCATTATATTTTATCAAAAATTATTTTTAATATTTTTTATAGGTGCGCCCCAATGAGAAGATGACACGTACCAAATTTCATATTCATACAATTTGTATAAAAAAACTAAAAATAAAATACTTTGAGAAGTCGGATCTAAGATCAAACGGTGAGTAGGTCTCTTGATCAAAATTGGACGGCTGATGGTAGGGGGAGGATGGAACTTCTATGCTGTAGGGGAAGCATGAAACCTTTCCCTATATAAAAATAATAATAACAAACAATAACATGCAGTATATAAATAAAATTTCATTATGTGAAAGCATATGGTATGCAGGTACTGTGTGGTAGTGAGATAATGTTTTCACATGTGAAAGTATGGCATAAAGGATGAGACATGAAAATGGTATATGAAATGGAATCCCAACCTTCAATACTCAATGGATGATTAGCAGCCTCTTCCCATTGTTAAGGCAATTACAGAACTGAAAGGAGGAGCACTTTCGCCTCAATCATCGGTTGTCGAGTATTGACGTTTGACATTGCATAGTAGATGGGCAATATGGCCCTGTTATGTGTATCTATGATTTATGGCGCAAACATGTTAGATACAAGAAGGCATAAACATGTTGGATACTAGATGCCACAGACATGTTCTATAACTCTATGCCCAGAGAGAGATCTGTGCAACCTAATTCTAGAAAGAGGATCAAAGATTAATAGTTATTTGATTGTGGTTGTGATAGGATCAATTCATAAATAGCCTCTCGCTGGAAAGCTAATCCTAATTTACTTTAAATATATCTTGTTTTCCATATGAGGACTAAAATTGCATAGAAGATAGGATGCCTGATAATTTGCAAAACACTGGGGGTTAAAAGTTGAAACCATGACTAGATCAATACAAGACAAAAAGAGTTCAACAAAACATGACCACATAAATCCACAAAATGATAATATTTGAAGGAAATGATAGGCCTCTAATCCAATCCACTCATCATCTGCCCTTTATGATTAAAAAAATGTTACAGTGTTTTGACAAATAACCATGGAAGTGGTCTAAAGATTGGCCTCAGCCACTTTTTTCTCCAGTCCAGCCAAGGTTTGGTAGGTCATTAAACCACCATAGTCCATGGTTTAATTGGATTTACATCTTGGCTTTAGATAATCATGAGGACCAATCTTTATGACCCATCTACCAGCCAAAAAACAACATATCTCTACCTGCTGCCTGTTTTCATTTTCAGGGAAGAAGCCTGCACTACACAGAACATTTTGGTACTTATCTACAATAGAATTCTTATCACCTTTGTATCAAATTTACAGCCAAATGGGTCCTTTTGTTTTTCATTTTCTCTTTGATTTTAATGGAGATCGAAATTTGGGTCTCACTCAAACCACCGGAATTCCGTCAACCACGCACGGCACGGCGATCTCGGCTTTCGCTCTCTGATTGTGTCGAGCTTCGGGGACCATGGCTGACTCCTGGGACCTACCAGCTGTGCATAGTGCTTCCTCAACTCAGGCGTACTACAAAGATTTCCTCCGGTCTCACAAGTCTCCTCGCTACGTGTCATTATTCCAGTGATAAATTCCGGCGAAATCTTTACCAGCCCCTTCCCATCGGGGCCCTTGACATAAACGAATGGTCGATCTCCAAAGTTCAAGGGCTCCCCAGGACACAGTGCCAGAGAAGCCAGTGAAGCAGGAGACAAGACGTGGGATGAAAACCTATCCGCTGGAATCACAAAATACGTTTCGCCGGATTTCAGGATGTCGTCAAGTGACAGCGCCGGAATCCGGTGGCCTAGATAGAAAGAATCAGCGTGGCACACTAGGCTATGAGGAAACTGGAACATAACTTGCCTAGCCTGCTTCTTTTTTCCTTTGAGGAGTATGGTTTGGCCATCCATGAGGACAAGCTTTGTTGGGTGAGGCTTGAAGCTCACACAAGGAGACTGCATGTTGCCCATTTTGTGTTTGTGATTTGTTTTGGAGGTATTTTGTGTTTGTGATTTGTTTTGGAGGTTTATGTATCGAATGGACATGGATTTTATACTAGGGTTAGGGTTAGAGCACCTTGGGCTCTTGACTTTGGAAATATTTTTTGAAAAGTCTTGGTTTTGCTGATGGGAGTCGGTGGTCAGGGGTGGCGGCCTCTGAATTTGAGAAGAAGATCCTAAAACCTTTTTTTTTCCAATAAAATACCCCTCAACTTTTTGTTAAATTCCAAGAACAGCGCCTACTTTTAGCTTTGACTTGTGATTTTAAAAATTAGATATGTGACCTGGATCGAGCATCTTAAAAATTAGTATGGATGGATGAATTGGCGGTCCATATCACCATTTTATTTTGTGCAAAAAAAAATAAAAGTGTGAAAAATAGTGAATGGCCAAAAACTAATCGGGATCGGTGATTTGGCATTTTTAATATAACAAAAAGGCGTTTTACAGTAGTAAATCGTTCATTTTTTTATAGACCCAAACAGTTTCTTTTATTACGACAGAATCGGGCATTGGGGATCGATTCCCGGACTGAGCAATTTCGTGCCGAACTCAACGTTTTTCAAATAAGTGGTTTTGACCTTTTATTATCTGAATTTTGAGAACCTTCCATTTTAGTAAAAAACACTCCTAACGTTTTGTTAAATTCCAAGAACTGCGCCTCTTTTTAGTTATGACCTTTTATTATATAATAATATTTCTATTATATAATAATATTTCTATGTACTTTTTTTTTTAAATATTATAATATTTCTATGCTCATATTGTGTATGCAAGCTGGCGTGGCGGATGGGGCTCATGCATTAATAAAACATCAGTAAAAGATTACAACCAATTTCATAAGTAAAAGTCCATAACATGTGGTTATACCAACTTATCTTAAGCATCATAGGCTTATAGTCCTCTTAATTTATCTCCCTATGCATTACTCGTAGCCCACTAAAATAGAAACTCATACATAAAAAATAGACCTGACCACTCTTTGCAATCGTAACTAGCCTATTTATAATTACTAAAACAAGATCATCAATATTTTGGAATTTTTATCAGGTTGTTTAATAGATGGTGGGGTCTAGATAAGGTGTCCACCTTAAACAACCAAAGTAAGAATTTTGGTGTTAAAAATCTTTGTAATAGCCTGAAAATCTATTATCTTTACTAATTATAATTTATATTTCCAAAAATAGTGTAGATCAGGTAGATCCATGAACGCTTAAAAAATATCGAAAATCGATGGTCTAGAGAATATGTAATAAGATACAATTTTTTATAGGACTTGAAAGCAATTTTTTTTCGGATTCATACATCTCGAGGTTGCGATGATTAATTTCAGAGTTTATGAGCGTCAGAACAACTTTTTCTGATTTTTTTGACGTGCGCCCTAATTTTACAGTATAATGTTGAAGCCTTCTATAAATTTTTATCTTAATAGATATATAAGTTGGAAAACGTTTATACAAGGCATTAACCTTGTACTATAGAAGTAATGTGTAGCTCAAAAACCCATTGAGAAAACTTGTTACAAAAGCATGAGACCCTCGAATAGATATCTTGATCTCAAGATATATAGATATAGAAAAAAAAAAAAAACAACTTCAAGTCTTAAAAATACCGCATCTTGTAACCCACTACTTGAACCATCTATCTCCAATATTTAAGTATTTATGGATTTGCTCGATCTGTACAATTTTGGAAGCTCTAAATTGCATAATTCGGGGTAAAAATACATTTTCAGACTATCATAAGGTTTTTGTGGTGGCGAAACAACATCTTCCGATAGAATTTGAGGCTGTGCCTTTGATTGTTAAGGTTAACACCTTATGCATATGTAGACTGCTATAAGGCTGCAACTTTACTTGTAGGTAATGTTGCAATAATTTACACTGTCTATGTGAGTTAGATGTGATAGATCTTACACCATCTTAAAAGATGTGCCAAATTTTGACAGTCTTAAAACACGTTTCAAATCTACATCATCTAACTAAAATGAATGGTATACAATACTATGATCTTACTTCCACAAGTAAGGTTGCCGCCTTATATAAACCACATCCTTAATAGATTCTCTCACTATGAATGATATAGCTAGTATTGAGCCATCAAAAATAAAATACCTATGTTTCCACTTTAGAAATTTAAAGACTTCTTTTTACTATCTGCTATTGAAATGTCATATGATAAGAGTACTTAATATTATGCAACATCTTCCCTTTCAACTCATTTACTTCATCTCTTTGCAACCTGGTAGTGATTTACGTATAGACCCTAAAATTTTAGTTAAAATACAAAACTCTGGTAGTGATTTACGTATAGACCTTAAAATTTTAGTTAAAATACAAAACTCCACTAATAGAAGGTTTGTCAACCTGTCTTTTTTATATTTTCAAAATTGCACCTTGGTCAACTCGAGTTTTGAGTTTTATTTTTATTTTTATTTTTAATTTTTTTATTAGTAGTGCAATGCTTTAAATCTATAGTGCCCCAAGCATTAAGGCACTGCACTACTAACGGAAAAATTTAAAAAAATCAAAATTCAGGTTGACCAAGGGGTAATTTTGAAAAAAATAATAAAGACAAGTAATCTTTGAATGGAGCATTTCGTATTTTATCTAAAATTTTAAATCTATACGCAAATCACATATTTTTTTTTCTTTTTAGTCTGTGCCCAAAGCTTGAACCAATTTTAAATGATTCTTGTTCATCCACTGGGTGAAAATTCGAGGTGCCTCTTCTTATAAATATAAAAGGTCGTGATGGTCATATTTTGGTAATACAAGGGTAGATAACAAAAATGGAAAACGTTTTGGGGCTTTATTTTCAAGGCAAAAAAAAAAAAAAAAAAAAAAAAGAAAAAAAAAGCAACCTTCCATCCATCATGAATAATTTCCAACGGCTTGGAAACCAAAAGCATGTGATTCATAGACCAAGGTTTTAATGCGTGGGGTTAGACTTATAGGAGGGTGGTCACTTTAGGCCGTGTCAAAGGGGTCTCTCAAGACAACCCCTATGTACCCACCACGTGAAATACAGCACTTTTTCTTCTTTTCTTGGGAAAAAGTCTCCATTAGAATGAAGCCTTCAACTTAACTGACACGGTCCCTTGTCTTAAATGGACGATAGTGATGTGCCTCGCGGCCTAACCAATAACCTTAAAGGGCTTTTAGAACTTAAGGTTATGTTTGATTACTCTAAAATATCTGAATATTTAATAATTTTGAGAAATTTTGAAAACTTCTAATATTAAAAGTCAAGAACCATGTTTGACAACTCAAAGTTGTATCCCGAATATCTAGATAAATGTCCAAAATCAATATATTAGAAATTTTAACTAGAACTTAAATTTTAGGGGATTCAATATTTCCATCAAGAAAAATGTTGCGTCATTTATTAGTTCTCTCGACCAGTTTCAAGTATCAAAAGAGAGCTTCTCTCTCAGCCTATACCCATATTCTCTCTCTCTCTCATATTTTCAAGTCTCATATATCCAAAGAAGCCTTCTTTCTCAGCCAAGACCCATTCTCTTTCTCCCTCACTCCCCTTCTCTCTCAGCCAAGACGCATTCATTCTCTCACTCCCTCCGTCCCTCCTATGTGTAACCCTATCCCAAACAATCTCTCTGTAACTTATTGATCCTTTGTACTCTCACTTGGTGCAAAGATCTCTCTCATTAGCGGTTAGATCGTTCGGTTTTGTGAACACTGCTCTCTTTAACGGTTAGATCGCCCAATTTTACGAACATTGCTCTCAACTTCCTTTCTTTCTCTGCTCATCAGTGGCTTTCTACTCTCCCTTTTTTTGACATGACCCGCCTTTCCCTAGTGGCTTTCTTCACCATCTTACCTAGTGGGTCTCATCCACCTGGTTTGCAAACCTTACTCCTCGCTCAGCCATGGAGATAGCGTTGATGCCATGAATTTGGGCAATTCACTTGGGCATTATTATTGAGTGGAAGCCAGCTCAATTGGGCCATATTATTGAGTAAGAGCTTCAAGCCGATGATGGTTCCAACTAAAGAAGCTGCTTCTCATGGCCATCAAAGGTTGGACATTGCCATGTGAACATGACAAAGTTAAGCCCATATGGGGGAGGGAGTTTGTTTTTTAAGTTGAGTCAGTGGTAGAGGGGCCCTATCTTTTGTAGGAAATGAGCCTAGGACATAACGTTATAGATCGTCAAGTCCTAGCCAATTAAGCTTGGGCTGTTCTGCTAAGGAGAGCTGCTTCATGTGTCAGGGGATGCAATTTTGAATTAGTCTCCCCTAAAGTATCAAATATCCCTAAGAATGAATCTAAAAAAGGTGGTCATCCAACAAAAACATTTAAAGTAATGGTCTAAAATTGGTCTTCAAAAACAATATCATTTTTAGGTATAAAATTAATTTATTTCTATATAATTCCCGTATTAGAGACTACGTCTTTTTAAAAAATTGGGTTCCAAATCTATTTTTTGTGTAAGGTGCCAACCTTATACTATTGAAGTAAGGTGTGCCTCAAAACTATGCCAAAAATGTAGTTTCAGTGCTACAAAACTTCGTGATGATATGAAAATCTATTGCTACCCCCAATTATGAAATTTAAAGTTTCAGAAATGGTGACGATCAAGTAAATCTACAAACATTTGAAAATCTTGAAAATGCACGACTTAGATAGTGCTTTAGTAGAAGAATTATTTTTAGGACATAAATGTCATTACTTTTTCTTCATGTTAATGAATCTTTAGGTCGAGATGATCGATTTGAAGGTTTTCCAGCATTGGAACAACCTTCACTAGTGGGTACTTTAGGTTCACCTTACCTGTACAGTATAAGGTTGAGACCTTATATAAACTTTTTCCTTTTAAAAATAGATCCTCGAGTACTCATATGTACATGAATCAGCGAAGTGTTTAAAAAATGTGTCCTTAAAGCATCTATCTTAAAGATGGATGCAAATTGGTAATCTATCTAAAAATAATTGAAACTAACGGTCCAAATGTTTTCTTAATAGAATTATTATTTTTAATTTCT